TCCTCTTCAAAGTCATTTCCATTTAAACATCAATTCCAATCTCTCCATGGACAAAAGTGTATAAACTACACAACTTCTTGAATCAAGTTTACTAGTTGAAACCATCTACTCTTTCATGTTGTATAACTACAAAATTAGTTCTTATTTAGAGAAGTATGGAAAAACTACATTACTACATTTCGACACAGTAATTTAAAAGATTTGGGGACCTGTGAAAATCCTATTCTATGATTGGATTTAATGATCACTAAAGAGTCTTAAGTTAAATAAGTAAAATAATTAACTGAGACCTTTAAACCAATCAGTCGAACTCAATCTAATTAATCATTTACTTGACAGATATTTATTGCACATCTATTATGTGCCAGTAAGCTCTAAAGATATAGAATGAACAGAACAGACAAATGTTACTGCCCTCGGGTAATTTATATACTTGGTGGAGAACAGGGGTGAGAATATGTTAGTCACAAATAAATGGTGATCATTTCAGACAGTGATAAAACGAGTAGTGTGACACAGAGTGATTGAGTTGAAACAGAGGTTGAAGAAAACTGAATTGAGAGGGTCATTTAAATGAAGATCTGGAGGCCAAAGAACAAGTAATCATGTGATGGTCCAGAGGCAGAACTCTCCAGAAAAAAAAGGCTCTGCAAGCCCTAAGTGGGCTGAACTACTCACCTGTGTCCGAAGATTATCAAACAAGAAAAGAGCAGAGGAGGAAGCTGGTGGTGGGGTGGGCAGGGCCTCAACAACTATGCAAAAAATGCAAAATTCGTTTCTGCAGATGCCATTTTGAGCTCTTAACATTGGCCCTAATACATGAAATCCTTACTTTATGCCTTCATGCACCATCCACATTTTATCTCACTGCCCTCTGGTGTGTCCATGTTAACCAGTATTTCACTTCATACTTTCTAAGCAATTTCCCAGTATTTTTATCAGGTTAGAACAGACTTCTTACCTGTATGTTGACAGTTCAACTTCATATTTGAAAATAAACTTTGACATATATGTTCCAAAGTTATTTTTTCATTAAGAATAGAAAATGATTTGTAAGATTGCAAACTGAAAAATAAATGAACGTATTCCCTCTTTGTCTTGAAAAACTGCCACTTTCAAAGTACAAATTAACCACTTTGCAGATGACACATGGCCCACCTTAAATGTGTCCAGCTATACGAAGGTCTTTCTTTTTCTCTACCAAAACTTGGTATACTCAAGCAATGAAAAAGATTCCTTATATTGGGCTAACATGTTAGAGTACAAAAATTAATATGTGGCTGTTAATTATATGATCCTTTTCAAATTCAAGTACAAAAAATAATTTAAGTTTTTGTGTCACTGTCCCCAAAC